AATTTACATTAATTTTTGTAACTATTTTCATAAGTTTGTGGAACCATCGACGAAAACTTCAGCAATGCGACGTCCAAAATTTTTCTCGTTGTAGGCGATGCGATAATGTTAAATTTAAATTCAGTAAACCTAAAGTTTTACGCAAATTCCGAAAATTTTTTGTATAATTTTTTCAAATTTAAATAACCATTTTTGCAGTTGAATTGCTTAGTTAAGCAGCATTTCGCACATGAACTTGCACATTGAGTTATGCTCAACGTTTTATATTGCTCTTCATTGCACTTTTCGTTTACTTGGTAATCTTGACGGCTGAAACAAAGTAAATTAATTTGTTTATCTAAAAATAAAAAGTTCATAAAAATTTTAATTAGCAATTTATATTAAAAATGTTCAGTATTTAAATAATCAATGTTTAAATAATGAATAAATGAATATTTTGAGGAATAATTATAAAAAAAAACAATTAGATAACTAAATAAAAAAGTAGCATAAATGCTCGAAAATTTTTTAATATGATTTATTTTAAAGAATCGAATTTTAGCAAATTTTTTCCTCTATTCAATTCAAGTGATATCAAAAAACGCGTACAGATCGAGATTACGTTCGTAAGTAGGCCCTTGTTTTCCAAATAAAGCATTGCAAAAATCTGAGTTCGTATCGTGGCAATATTCTGGTTCAACGTTTGGACGCTTTTTATTCTCTTCACCAACTTCCTTGAAGCATTCTTCAATTGCTTCATCCTCAGAACAACTGAATTCCAATGAGTGAAGAAAAATAAGCCAGGTGAAAAGCATAATTGACGACTATCAGTGAGTGGTTGTGGTACATTTCATAAATTTATATGCGAAAATACGTCCCACCTCTAAAGCACCATTTAGAACAAACAAAACGCAAATTTTGGAGTCATGAAAATTGCTTTTTTTGCAATTGTCAGATAGAAGTTCGCATTTTTTTAGTCTAAAATTTCCCGAATAAAGGAAAATCATAATATGAAATCTTTCTTTATAATTGTAGGTGAAAAATAATAATTTAATTTCGTTTTTTATAAATAATAACTTAACAGTGCCAATGATGAATAATGGAATTTGGCTTAGTTTGATGATTTTTGTAAAATTATGTTCATATGGGAGATTAGGGAGATTAGGTGATTTTGCCTCGCAGAATCCTCAGTAAGGGATGATTCGCTTAGTTTGAGGCAATGCAGCATTCAAAGTTTTATAGTCTATTTGAAGGATTGCTTTGAATTTATTAATCAGAGCAAAAAAATTAGAATTGGAAAATACAAAAAATTTCTTTGATAATTCTAAAATCAAGAAAAAAACAATGAAAATGCGATGTAAAATTCTGTATATTTTGATGCAACTCTGGAACCACTCTGACCATTTACTTTTTGGTTATTTATTATTATTATTATTATTATTATTATTATTATTATTATTATTAAATATTGGCTAGAATCAGCTAACGTCTGGAAGACAAATCATATTCCATTGTATTTATCATTGCATATAATATTTTAGGAACTCTTTAAGCCACTTCCATAAACTTTTTTATGAAAAATAAATTTCATTGTTTTTCGAATATTTGATGGTTCTCAATGTTTTTGCTTGAGGCATTGTTTGCATATATCAATTGAAATCGTTTTACACCTGTATTAATCAATCAAAAATTCGTTGGCTATTTTTTCATTTTTAGTAATAAAAATATTTTTTTAGTAATTTTTTATTAATTATTGATTCCAGCTTGAACAATGCCAATAACAAAAATTTTTTCAAGCAATGTGTTAGATTTCGTTAATCCCCCTTGTTTAATAAAAATCCTTCTTAAAATCTTGCTGCATGTTCATCCTCCAAGTCTTATTTTAACACTTTAACTTGGTCTCTTCCTATCAAGGATTATAATTAAAATTAAACTATCCCTTGTGTTTCTTTATTATTTTAGCATTTTATGATTTTTTTCTAAAAATTGTTTTCTAAAAAAACTGTTCATTTTTACAGTTACTTCTTCTTTTTTTTTCATTTTTTCCTTTTCATTTTTTCAATTTTTTTACCAGCTTTGTGTTGATTCACATATTTATTTCCAGTTAAATTTAAATCAGATTAGGAAGAAGTAGCATTAATAATTAATGAATTTCTATCTGAAAACATTTTTGCACTCTGAGATGAAACTTATGCGAGTTCCATTTATTGCAAATTTTGATTTCCAACAGTTTTAAAATACATAATTTTTGAATACGTTTCGATATAGTATTGAATTCAGAATGCAATGAAATGCAGTCGAACACCTTTTCTCAATTATTTTGGACGCAGCCTCTGATATGAATTGTAAAATTGTAAACAGTCAAAGAGATATTCGGGAGCGATTGGCTTTCATAAACGTTAGTTCTTAATAGATATCAATCAACATGTGGTTTGTGGGACCAACCAGGTGCTCTAGGGAAAGAGTGTCGATAAAAGCGATATTTGTTCCAACCGCTTTAGACCCCAATGCGTGTAAATTGTTTTGAATTATAATTTATTATGACCAGTGATCGGAGTTAAAAGAATCGGATTGGGAAGGCAAACAACGTTCCCCGTACCTTCTCGAGCGAGTGATTTATTGAAGTTTGCCTATTTCCAGTCTTAATAATGCTTGAATTCTTTGCTTCAGGGTAATTATAAAATTTCCTCGAAATGAATTCTGCAAATTAACAGATTGCACTAAAAGAATAAACACCAACGGAATGCGAATCATAAAACAGATTCTTTCTACAGAAAAATTTTTTTTTTTTTGAAATTTTTTTTTAATATTTTTGCTAAAATCGAGAAAACAATCCACTCACAATAATCCTTATTTTAATGTTAAAATGAATATTTTTCATTCGTACAGAGCAAAAACTCCACGAGTAATTTATTTTTCTTAAAAAACAGTTACGTATTTGAAACTATTAGTTATAATTTATTCAGTGGGATGAAATTGACTCAGTTCGATAATTAATATAAAAAATAAGCAAAATTTTCAATAGAATTTTCAATAGAATAGAAAAGTACAAAATATTAAAGTTAATAAAATGGTAATGAATGACAAAAAATTTGAATGACTGCTGCAGCTGCAAAAATATGAATTGTCAAAATAGCTAGAAAAATGTTCCAATTAATGTATGTAAATAGTGCCTCCGGCAATTATATGTGAAGTACATTCAAATATATTCTGCACAAATTTTCCTAAATCATTTACAACATTTACTTATTATCAGATTAATCGATTTTTACTTATCTGAATACACTTTATTTTATTTAAATTTCAAATTCAAATTCGCCTTCATATTCCTGAAGATATTTCTTTTTTTTTCTAGCATTTTATCATGCATTTTTGCCGAAAAACCATTTTTCCTTTAATTTAGCGATTTTTTTTTTATTCTCACGAATAGCATTGAACAAAAATTTTCGTTATTATAATCTCATATGAATGCATCTACACTTTCGTTCAAATAGAACAACTCTCGACTGTTAGAAACGATAAAGGAGATAGCGAAGGAACGAATTAAATGAGGATTTCATTAAAAGAGGTAGGGAAAGCAGAATTCCAAGAGATTTCGGACAATTGTAAGGTCCGCCCAAACTTTGATTGAGAGCCACAAATATGGTCCACTTTTTTTAATATTATTAAAATAATTTTTTATTATTGCAATTTATTTATTTTATCATTTTTTATTATTTATTTATTATTTTATTTTATTATTATTAGACGAGTTTTATATTTTCTGACCAATTTAAAAGCGTTCTCATTTCTCAATTTTAAAAATTCATCCATATTATCCGCTGAGAGCGGCCAAATTATCTGTGCGAGTAACTGTCCAAGTGACCTCTTTAAATCGAAAGCATTCAAAGAAATCGAGAATATTTTTTATATATAACAGAATTATTCATCAATTTGCTATGAAAATATGGAGTTTTTTTTGAAAAATTGAAAAATTCTATGGTTTCAAAATTTATCAAAAATTATTTATTTATTATATAATTATAATTATTTAGTCGTTTATACGCCATTTTTTCAGCGAATATTTTTCATGATTGCAATGCAATGAGGAAAATAATTTTCGCCATTTTTTTATTACTCTTATTGCTAACTCTAACGAAATTCATTGAATTTTAATCTTCAACTGGATAAAATATTCCTTTGAAAACATGAATGGTAAAATGGTAACAATGATTGGTAAAATATTCCTATGCGAAGCACTAAGATTGAAGAAAATTTATTGCGGCGACGCTTAAACATAAAATTTCGCTATGATTTTACCAATCACAAATATGAAATTATGAGAAATTTTGCAAGAAACATCGAATTAATTGGAATATTTGGAAATTTCATTGAAATCTTCGAATCATAATTAATATAAGAAGAAAATAAATTAATTAAATTTTCAGTAATTTATTCTGTATATTATAATATAATTATTGTAAAATATTATATTATATTACACATATATTATATGAAATGAAATTTATAAATTTAAATCCAATGAAATTTATAAATTATTATTTATATATAAAATATTCATAAATATTTATTAAATTTAACAATAATAATATAGGTCTTAAACATCTGATTTCCTCTGATTGTACCAATCTCAAATATGGAAATATGAAAAATTTGACGAGAAATATCGAAACAATTGGAATATTTGGAAGTTTTACTGACGCCGTTGAATTATTATTAATAAAAGATGAAATTAAAATAATTAAATTTTTCATTTATTCTTTAATTCATTAATTATTGGAAAGGGTTTCATTTTTTTAATAATAAAATGCTCAAAAATTTTTCTCCACGAAAATATTTGTCAAATTTTCTGTGGCTTTGTTTGCGCATTTCCGTTTGGTTACAATATTTTAAAGGAAAAATGATTTTCTCTGCTTCAAAATTTCTTTTTTGTTTGCTCTATATGGTGCTTTAGGAGGAAAAATGCTTTCCCATATAAATTTATGAAATATGCGACTATTTCTCATTGTTAATCTTCAATTATGCTTTTCATGTGGCTTATTCTTCATCAGTTATTCCAATTTGGTTATTTTGAATACGAAGAAATTGAGGACTGTTCCATGAAAGTTACTGTGAATGACGAGGAAAAAAAACGTCCAAATATAGATCCAAGTTATTGCTACGATACGAACTCCGACCTGTGTAATGCTTTATTTAGTAAAGATGGAGATACCTACACTAATAATCTTAATCCGTAAGCATTTTTAAAACATTTTTTGAATTAAAGAGGGAAGGGCTACGATTTCGAGCACTTCTTTAGTCCAATATTCTACGTATTTTTTTGCGTAATTATTCCTCAAAATCTCTCTAGTAAGCATTAACATTAGCCTAAAACATTACCTTTAAATAGGTTAACTCATTCATTTTATTTCAGCGAGGAAGATTATAAAGTAAACAAAAATTGCAAGGAAATTCAATACAAAACGCTGAGTGTAACTCAGTGTGCAAGTTCGTGTGCGAAATGCTGTTTAACTAAACAATTCAACTGCCAGAATGGTCACTCAAATTTATAAATGCTTTAATTTTAAAAATAGTTATTTAAAAAAATGATAATAAATTTCCCGATTTTACGTTCAATTTTGAGTTTACTGGATTTAAATTTAATTTTGCTGAATCGTCCATAACAAATATTAACAAATTTTCCCATTCCTATTGCATTGTTTGGAATATTATTAATAAATCGAATGCTAATTGATAATCTCACGAAAATTTGAGATATTTCAAAGCTGCTTCGAATATGGCAAATAACTATTCATTTTGATTTTCCCCAAAACTTGTGATGATTGAAGCTCTTTTTTTATTTTATTTATTATTAATATTTTTCAATATATATTAATATATTATATATTAATATTATAATTCAGATGCAGCAAGCAGTGAAACATGTCAACTATTAATTTTCGGGAGAGATTGCAGAAATCCAAATTTATACCCGATACTTCTTGCAAGATGCCCAGCAACATGTGGCTTATGCGACCAACCAGGTGCTCTAGGAGAATGCCCTGATAGAGATGATATTTGCCCTACTATAACTGCTTTGGATCCCAGCGTGTGCAACAAGAGTAATGTGGCCAATATATGCATGAAAAGTTGCAATTTAAAAACTTGTTTGTCAGGTAAATGCGAATTGAAAGAATTGAAAGAATCAATTTTAACAGCAGAATAGTTTTTAGTCGATTTTTTATTTAAATGATTGAACAATTCTCAAATCTTTTTCTCTCAAATTAACTAATTCTCAAATCTTTCAGTAACTGATAAAAATTCGTGATAATTTTTGGATGTTCGTAAGCAACATTTGATTTTAGGTTCAACAACCGCATCGACCTGCGAGGATAAGCGACTAAATTGTAACTCTTATCAACCCTTCTGCACGAACCCAAGATACGCCGAATTTCTGAAACGAGAATGCTGCCGCACCTGTACTTTTTTCTTATGAAATAATTATAATATCAAAATCGAGACTTAGTATCGAGATTTCCAACCAGTTTCTTTTCGAACTAATTTTTAATGAAATTTCCATTTTTATTCATGAATATTCGACTTTAGGTTCAACGAATGCACTGGCTTGTATTGATAGCAGAGTCAACTGTCTATCTTATAAACCCTTCTGCAATAATCCGCGATACGCAGATGTTCTAAGAAGACAATGTTGCTATACTTGTACTTCTCCTTAATAAATAATTTTTAGCATTTCGCACAAATTATACTAAAATCTTTTAAGTAGGAAATTGATAAAAATTTATCGATAAATGCTCTCCTCCAGAATCTTCCAGAATTTTGAAGTTATTTTGAAGTAAATAAATACATAGATTTTTCTTGTTGACATGCGAAAAACCTTTATACGCCCCTCGTATGATAAATAATTTTTCCTCCGATTAGATTGGGTAAATCTAACATCCAATCTAACATTTCTCAAATTCGCAAACTAATCTCTCATTCATTTATAAATATAAAATAATTTTGATTTAAATAATCTGAAATAACTTTCATTAAAATCATTTAATCATTGATTAATTGAATAATTTAATTAATTTAATTTCGTCTTTCATTAATAATAATTCGAAAATATTAGTGAAATATTCCAAACATTCTAATTTCCAAGTATTCCAACAGGTCCGATGTTTCTTGTAAAATTAGGAAAACGCCAGCATCATCTGGATCTTTGGACAAGGATTTTACTCCCGCGGGGACTAGAACTTTAGCTTCACCGTCCCGAATTTAGCAACAACCCACTGAACACCTATCCCATGCAAAAACGAGTAAATCTCTTACAAACTTTTTTAACTAATATTAAACATTGACTAAATATTAAATATTGAAATAAAGTTTCAAAAAGTAAAAACAGCAATGATAAAAAATTTCGCTCATTTATTTTTTTTATATTTCCATGCTTTAAGGTGAAACATTTTAAGGAAAAGAAAATTATATAAACATTCACCAAAATATTTTAATTCATTTATCAACAATTATTTAATAATTTTAAAAATTTTTTAATTCCCAATTTCCGACCATAACTAACGGCAATATTAATTTCTACAGATTTTTTTGCCAGAAATATTTTCAAATAATAAAAATTTTTTTATTTTTGAAGAAAATTCAGAAATTTATTCAATTTTTGAATAAATTGAATAAATTTTTTATCGATTTACGAAAATTTTTTAAAATTCTGTTTTTAAAATGTTTCCATTGTTTAAAACACTAAATAATAATAAATAATATTTAGCGATTTTTTATAATTAACAATCAGTTAGAATAAAATTAATATAAATTAATTTATTAGAATTTTGCACCATTGTACCGCACATTATAACAAATAGCAACAAACTGAATGGACTTTCCAAATATTTCCGAATATAAAATTATATTTTATATGTTTTATATAGAATCCTCTTTCGATTTAATAATAAAAATTTTAAAAAGTACTTGAAAATTTTATTAAAAACTTGGATAAAATTAATAGCAATTAGTGTATTAATGTTGTTGCCTGATATGGTAGGCAAGAGAAGAGGAAATTAGATCTCACCTCTTCCGTATAGGCTATATTAGTTGTAGTTAAAGTTAAGAAGAATTTTCCAAAGGATCACTTGGCGATAAAATATAAATCAATCGTCAGCGTCGACAGGCTTTTTGACGATAGAATTATTCCCACTACTATTGTCACGCTATCTAATATTTTAAAATAATGATAGAAATAGGTCAGGGAATTATTCGACACCGATCAGAGGGGACACACAACTCAACATTTGTGCTTTCCTTATTTAGTAATATGCTATGTTTCCTGGAAATATCTATCAAAGGCTCATTTAGTAAATATTCGCCGTAACCATATTTAGAAAAAATTTAAGGTGCAAATGCTTTCAACGGAGCAATGTTCGCCAATGTGAGGAGTTAGTACCTCACATGTGCAAGCATACGAATTGAAAGAATAAAAAATTTGGATGAAGCAAAAGGAATATATCGTCGTCAGTCCGAATCGTAGTTGTAAAGTTGTTAGCACTGATTTGATCCCCAAGACATTCTAAAGCTAAAGGAATTGACTCAGTTCGATAATAATATAAAAAATAAGCAAAATTTTCAATAGAATTTTTGTACAAAATATTAAAGTTAATAAAATGGTAATGAATGACGAAAAATTTGAATAACTGCTGCAGCTGCAAAAATATGAATTGTCAAAATAGCTAGAAAAATGTTCCAATTAATGTATGTAAATAGTGCCTCCGGCAATTATATGTGAATACATTCAAATATATTCTGCACAAATTTTGCTACAATACAATAATATTTACTTATCATCAGATCAACGTATTTTTACTTATCTGAATGCATTTAATCTTCTTCATGTCAACTTAATTCCTTTCTACAGACGCTTCTAAGACATAAAAACTTCGCTCTTGTTTTCCTGAAGATGTTCCTCTTTTTCCCTCGTATTTTATGATGCATTTTCATCGAAAAACCACTTTTCTTTTATTTTAGCAATTTTTTCTTTTTTATTCTCACGAATAGTTCTCCGTTGAACGATAATTTTCATTATTGTAATCTCATATGAATGCATCTACGCTTTCATTCAGATAGAACAACTCTCGACTGTTAGAAACGATAAAGGAAATAGCGAAGGAACGAATTAAATGAGGATTTCATTAAAAGAGGTAGGGAAAGCAGAATTCCAAGAGATTTCGGAAAATTGTAAGGTAGTCCGCCCAAACTTTGATTGAGAGCCACAAATATGGTCCACTTTTTTTAATATTATTAAAATAATTTTTTATTATTGCAATTTATTTATTTTATCATTTTTTATTATTTATTTATTATTTTATTTTATTATTATTAGACGAGCTATTTTACATTTTCTGACCAATTTAAAAGCGTTCTCATTTCTCAATTTAAAAAATTTATCAATATTAGATGAGAGCGGCCAAATAATCTGTGCGAGTAACTATCCAGGTGACCTCTTCAAATCGAAAGCATTCAAAGGAATCGAGGATTATTTTTATATATAACAGAATTATTATTAATTTGAATATGAAAATATGGAGTTTTTTTTTTTGAAAAATTGAAAAATTCTATGGCTTCAAAATTCATTAAAAATTATTTATTTAAATCGTTTATACGCCATTTTTTCAGTAAATATTTTTCATGATTGCAATGCAATGAGGAAAATATTTTTCGCCATTTTTTTATTACTCTTATTGCTAATTCCAACGAATTCATTGAATTTTAATCTTCAATTGAGAAAACTAAGATTTTTGAAGAAAGTTTATTGCAGAGACGCTTAAACATCTAAACATCTAATTTCCTTTGATTTTACCAATCTCAAATATGGAAATATGAAAAATTTTATGAGAAACATCGAATCAATTGGAATATTTGGAAGTTTCACTGACACCGTTGTCACTGAATCATCATTAAAAGACGAAATTAAAATAATTGAATTTTTCATTTATTCTTTAATTCATTAATTATTGGAAAGGATTTCATTTTTTTAATAATAAAATACCTCAAAAATTATTCTCTACGAAAATATTTATCGAATTTTCTGTGGCTTTGTTTGCGCATTTCTGTTTGGTTACAGTAATTTGAAGTAAAAATGATTTTCATTGCTTCAAAATTTCCTTTTTGTTTGTTCTATATGGTGCTTTAGGAGGAAAAATGTTTCCCCATATAAATTTATGAAATGTGTGACTGTTTCTCATTGTTAATTTTCAATTATGCTCTTCATATGGGTTATTTTTCTTCTTTTATTCGATTTCGGTTATTTTGCATACGAAGAAATTGAGGAATGTTTCATGGAAGTTACTGTGCAAAACGAGAAAAAAAAACGTCCAAATATAGATCCAAGTTATTGCGACGATACGAGCTTTGACCTGTGTAATGCCTTATTTAGTAAAGATGGAGATACCTACACTAATAATCTTAATCCGTATGCATTTTTAAAACATTTTTTGAATTAAAGAGGGAAGGGCTACGATTTCGAGCACTTCTTTAGTCCAATATTCTACGTATTTTTTTGCGTAATTATTCCTCAAAATCTCTCTAGTAAGCATTAATATTAGCCTAAAACATTACCTTTAAATAGGTTAACTCATTCATTTTATTTCAGCGCGGAAGATTACAAAGTAAACAAAAATTGCAAGGAAATTCAATATAAAACGCTGAGTGTAACTCAGTGTGCAAGTTCGTGTGCGAAATGCTGTTTAACTAAACAATTCAACTGCCAGAACGGTTACTCAAATTTATAAATGCTTTAATTTTAAAAATAGTTATTTAAATTTGAAAAAAATGATAATAAATTTGCTGATTTTACGTTCAATTTTGAATTTATTGGAATTAAATTTAATTTTGCTGAATCGTCCATAACAAATATTAAAAAATTTTCCTATTCCTATTGCATTGTTTGGAATATTATTAATTAATTAATCAAATGCTAATTGATAATACCACGCAAATTTGAGATATTTAAAACTCCACATGTTTGAGTATAGTAAACAACTAAACATTTTGATTTTCACCAAAACTTGTGATAACTCTTTTTTTATTTCTTCACTAATATTTTTTTAATAATTCAGCAAACAATGAGGCATGTCAACTATTAATTTTCGGGAGGGATTGCAAAAATCCAAATTTATACCCGATAATTCTTGCGAGATGTCCAGCAACATGTGGCTTATGCGACCAACCAGGTGCTCTAGGAGAATGCCCTGATAGAAGTGATATTTGCCCTACTATAACTGCCTTGGATCCCAGCGTATGCAACAGGAGTAATGTGGCTAATATGTGCATGAAAAGTTGTAATTTAAAAACTTGTTTGTCAGGTAAATGCGAATTGAAAGAATTGAAAGAATCAATTTTAACAGCGGGATTATCAGATAGTTTTTAGTCGATTTTTTATTTAAATGATTGAACAATTCTCAAATCTTTCAGTAGAAAACTGATAAAAATTCGTGATAATTTTTGGATGTTCGTAAGCAACATTCGATTTTAGGTTCAACAACCGCATCGACCTGCGAAGATAAGCGGCTAAATTGTAACTCTTATCAACCATTCTGCACTAACCCAAGATACGGCGATTTTCTAAGACGAGAATGCTGCCGCACTTGTTAGTTTCCTTATCAAATAATTTTAGTAAAAATAATTTAGCATCGAGATTTTCAACCACTTTCTTTTTGAGCTGATTTTTACGACTATTTTTAAATGAAATTTCCATTTTCATTCATGAATATTCGACTTTAGGTTCAACGACTGCACTGGCTTGTATTGATAGCAGAGTCAACTGTCTATCTTATAAACCCTTCTGCAATAATCCACGATATGCAGACGTTCTAAGAAGACAGTGTTGCCATACTTGTACTTCTCCTTAATAAATAATTTTTAGCATTTCGCACAAATTATGCTAAAATCTTTTAAGTAAGAAATTGATAAAAATTTTCGATAAATGCTCTTCCCCAGAATCTTCCAGAATATTGAAGTTATTTTGAAGTAAATAAGTACATAGATTTTTCTTGTTGACAAGCGAAAAACCTTTATACGCGCCTTGTATGATAAATAATTTTTTCTCCGATTAGATTGGGTAAATCTAACATCCAATCTAACATTTCTCAAATTCGCAAACTAATCTCTCATTCATTTATAAATATAAAATAATTTTGATTTAAATAATCTGAAATAACTTTCATTAAAATCATTTAATTATTAATTGATTAATTGAATAATTTAATTAATTTAATTTCGTCTTTCATTAATAATAATTCGAAAATATTAGTGAAATATTCCAAACATTCTAAATTCCAAGTATTCCAACAAGTCCGATGTTTCTTGTAAAATTAGGAAAACGCCAGCATCACCTGGATCTTTGGACAAGGATTTTACACCCGCGGGAGATAGAACGTCAGCATCAGCGTTCCGAATTGAGCAACAACCCACTGAACTCTTATTTCATACAAAAACCAGCAAATCTCCCACAACAAATCCGCCTCCTACAAACTTTTATAATTAATATTAAATATTAACTGTATATTAAAATAATGAAATAAAATTTCAAAAAGTAAAAACAGCAATGGTAAAAATTCCGTAATTTATATTTCCATACCTATCGCTTTAAGGCCGAATATTTTAAGGGACAGAAAATTATATAGACATTCACCACAATATTTTAATTTATTTACCAATAATTAATTAACAAACTTAATAATTTCTTTATTCTCATTGCTTGAAGGCATATTTAAATATTTAAGTGACATTGGATTCTTCTGTCCATAGCTAACGGCAAAATTAATTTCTACAGTTTTTTTTGTGAGTTTCAATTTATTAATAAAAATTTTATTATTTCTGAAAAAAGCTCAGAAAATTTTTCAATTTTTGAATAAATTTTTTATCGATTTGCGAAAATTTTTTAAAATTCTGTTTTTAAAATATTTCCATTGTTTAAAATACTAAATGATATTTAGTGATTTTTTATAATTAACAATTAGTTAGAATAAAATTAATTAGAATATTGCACCATTGTACTGCACATTGCAACAAATAGCAACAAATTAATTGGACTTTCCAAATATTTCCGAATATAAAATTATATTTTATCTATTATCATATAGAATCCTATTTCGATTTAACAATGAAAATTTTAATAATCGCCAAGGTGAGGAGTTAGCACCTCACATGTGAAAGCACACGAATTGAAAGATTATAAAATGTGGACAATGCAAAAGCAATACATCGTCGTTATACATAGTCCGAATGGTAGTTGTAAAGTCAGCATGATTTGATCCCCAAGACATTCTAAAGCTAAAGAGGTCTATTTTCAATCTCATTTCATTCTCTTTCACGAAATAAGTATAACTATCGAATGCCCCTAGAATACTGATCGTGCAACGTCTCATATCAACTATTAAGCTGCCCGATCAAAGAAATAAGAATAAAATTTTTCCAATAATATTTACTTCATCTGTTTAAGCCTTTTCTTATTAACCTGAGTATATTCAATCCTTTTTACAGATTAGCCCAACTTTAAAAAAGCCTTTAGGTCATGAAAGCGTCGCCTTTTTTTAACGATGTTTCTCGATACTTCTCGCATTCTGTGAAGCATCTTTTTTTCCAAAAAATACTTTTTGTTTGCGTTAGCACAAACTTTCTTCTTTTTCTTCCAATATTTATGTTGGAATTTAGCTAACCACAATCTTGATTGAATGCACCAATGCATGCAGATTGTGTCAATAATCGCCCATTAGTACCAATAAAAGAAGTAAACAAGTATTGCAAGAGCTAATAACGGTAAAATTCTTGAAACAAATGTCATAAACGATTTAAATGAGGAGGAAAAAGCAGTATTTCAAGAGTATGAAGAAGAATATGAGAAGATTCGGCATAATTTCGGCATAAAAGGCAAAGAAAGTTAAACGAAGGCCACAATAATGGTTCATTTTCTTCTTAGCACTATTGAAAAATTTTTTCCACAGTTGTCAAGCGAATTTTACATTTCTTGACCAAAGTATAAAAATATTTTCAATTTAGACTTGTAAAACTCCATCCATATTGGCTAAGTGCGGTTGAACAATCTATATGGTTGAACAATCTATATTATCTTGTTAGCCTCTTTAAATCAAAAGCGTTGAGAAGAAAAAAGAAATATTTTTTTCTATTAGTTTTATTTTTGCTAAAATTAGAATTATTTTTCATCAATTGGCTATGAATTATTTTTGAAAAATTCTGAGGTTTCAAAATTTATTAAAAATTGTTTATATAAATTGTTTTTGCACATACACCATTCAATGAATGTTTTTCGTAGATATGGACCAATGAGAAAAGTACTTTCTCTTCATTAATATATTTCTCTTCGTTACTATTTCATTGCTCTGATGGGAAAGATCATTCAAATGGATTGTAATGAAACATTTCAAAAACTAGGCTGACCACTAAGATTTTTTGAAAGTTTGCTGCAGCGAGGAACGGTGATCGAATTTCATTATGATTTTCCTTATTTTACGAGAAGCATCGAAGCAGTTGGAATATTTGGAAATTTCGCTGATATTGTCGAATGATTATTAATGAAAGACGAAATTAAATTATTTAAATTATTCAGTTATTTAAAATTCAAAATTTAAAATTCTTTATAAGAGAAGCTTTCAATTTTTTAGTATTTTTTCACTGTTATTAAAGAAATTATCAACTTGTTTTCGTCAAAATAACAAGAATTTGCAAAAACAAGATAACAAGAATTACAAGAATTTGCAAAAATAATTTGCAAAATTTGCAAATGACCAACTCAAAGAAAAAGTATTGTAGCGTTTTAATTAAGATAATTAACCAAAATTGATGAAAATAAATAATGAAAAATAATATCCGCTACGAAGCTTTAAACACCAAATATTAAGGAGTCGAACAAGTACGGCAACATTGCCTTCTTAGAAAGTCTGCACATTGCGGAGTGCTGCAGAAGGGTTTATAAGACGGAGAGTTATATCTGCTGTCAGTACAGATTGGTG